ATCTCTGATCTTCCCAAAAGCCTTTAGAAAGTTTTCCTTTCTTTTTTTGGCAAAAAGTTGGCGCTATGTAAACACTTAAGCTTAGTCACTAATATATTCACTATTTTTTGGATGGAAGTGGTCACTGGAATTTAGGAATGTATTTTCCCCTTCTTTTCTCCCTCTGTCGGAGTTGTAGCTGCAAGTTGACAAGAGATGTGGCAGCTTCCCTGTCCAGCCCAGCAAACAGAGCCAGAGCTGCTGCAGTTTGAGGATAAATAATGGATTGCAGCCTGTCAAACAAAGCTTTGAGCAAACACCACTTGAAAGGGTCAGGTGAATCTGAATATTACCGTACAAATCACCATTTCCCAGCCCCTTTGTGTTCCTTTGGGTGCAGCTCTCAGAGCAGCTCACCTTTTCCAGCTGCCCCCAAACCTGACAGGGTTAGTGTTAGCAATACTTCTGTGTGTTTAACCAGCAGAAATAAACTCAAAACTCATCCTTCAATGCTTTTCTCTCCATCCTAAAGTCCTTGGAGTTTTATTTTCCTTCACTATCTCAATTGGAAATGTATTTGGGGTTTGTTTTAAGATCTTTGCTTTGAGATTTTAGGGAACACATCAGTGTTTGATTGGGTTTTAGGAGCCTTCCTAGAAGTTTAAGAGCTGCTAAAATACAGCTGGATGTTTAGCTAATAGGAATGTTTGAAGAGGAGTGGAATTACATTGCTTTGGCATTGCTTTAGGGAAAGTCTGAGCTGTTTGCATGGTGCTGGTTGTTTTTCCCTCTTGCACTGATGTGATTCCAGGCTCTTGCCAGCATTGGTTGATCCAAAGTTGCAACCAGAGGAAGGGCAAAATGGTTTTTCTAACCATCTTCTTCAGCAAAGCAACACAGAATAAGCCACAGTTGAGTGTACCGCCCAGAAGTGCCACAAAGGAGAAGAAATCCCACTTTCCAACATGAGATTTTGCATCCACATGTGGTTGTGTGATGATCTAAGCCCTCTCTGAGGGTCTGTGGCAGCAATCACAATATACTGCTCCCCTTTTAAGCTCTCACTCTCTGCTCAGAGAGGGTTTCAGCACTGCAGTTTTAAGTGGAATTTCCCCTTTTCATGCTCTTGGTTATGAGAGATTTATTGAGGAGGAAGGAGAGTCAGCTGGACAGAGAAATCTTCCCCTGAGAAATGTCTGGTGCTTAGGTTTGACCTTCTCCTGCAGGAGGGATGTCCTGGGGGCAAGTTGAAATCTCACCTTACATTTCCTTTCTATGATTCCACCTTGTCTCAGCCAGAGCTGTGTCCCACCACAGCCTGGACTGGAAGGGGCAATTTAGCCTTTACCCCACAACACGTGGCAACAGGTCTATGCCCATGGAGACACAGTGCTGGCTGGACTTGAAACCTTTGCTATAAGTGACATTTCCTGGTCTCCCTGTTGTTTATCAGGTTGGAAAGTTTGCATTTACAAGGTGACTGGTCTGAATCCACGACAGCATCTGCTTTGCCCCATGTCCATCATTAAGGAGGACCCAGTGGAGGTTCTCCTGCCCACACCAGATGGCTCCTTGGCCATCAGAGCTGCCTCATTTCCCACCAATGAGCCTTGCAGCTGATGGCGGCAGAAGGAGAGAGCAAAAGAAACCAATGTCTGCATGGGGGCAATTCCAGCATTATTTTTTCCAGTCAGGATGTTTCTCATGCTGGTGTCTCTGGGGTTTGGTTTCCAGCAGGGAAGGAGGACTGAGTTTGTGGGGAAAACAAATTGTGAGACAAGGAAGCAGAGGGGTTATAGAATACAATCATAGAATCATCAAGTTTGGGGGAGACCTCTAAGATCATAAAGTCCAACCATTAACCTGTTACTGCTGGAACCCCTAAACCCTAAACCATATCTTCCAGACACCTCTTAAACACCTCCAGGGATGGTGACTCCACCACCTCCCTGGGCAATATTCCAGTGCCTGAACACCCTATGGGTCTATCATTTTATGGTGGATCCTTGTACTGCCCTTCTGTCAAGTTGTGCAGTTAAGGGGATGTGGAAGTAAGGAAAATAGTTTGTTTTCCTCATGGGAGGAAGCTTTTCCTTGGAATTGAAGGAGAGTGGGGCTGTTTGTTCCACCAGAAAGCTGAGCTGGAAGGAAGCTACTCTGCATTTCAGCTTAGGGAGGGAAGCTACTCTGCATTTCAGCTTAGGGAGGAGCATGGAGGTGCTTCTTCTGTTGGACTGGGAGTTTTGTGGGAGTTTTTCAGTATTTAATGCATGTTTAAGTAAAAAGAAATCAGGAAGGACCCAGATGTGAATATGGACTGGGCTGGTGAAGCTGAGTACACTTCCTTTCTCCTGCCTCTTCCTCTCCCATGGAATCAGAGAATCCCAGAATGGTTTGGCTTAGAAGGACCTGGTTCCACCCCCTGCCATGTGCAGGGACACCTTCCACTAGCCCAGGATGCTCCTAGCCCTATCCAGCCTGGCCTGGAACACTGCCAGGGTTGGGGCAACCACAGCTGCTCTGGGCAACCTGTGCCAGTGTCTCACCACCCTCACAGCCAGGAATTCCATCCCAATATCCCATCTAACCCTACCCTCTGGCAGTGGGAAGCCATGCCCTGTGTCCTGTCCCTCCAGTTCCCGATGAACTGCATATTCCATAGCCACCTTGGATTTACCTGCACATCACATTGGCTTTGAATGAACTTCAGAACAGCCTATTGGACTTTCAGCTGATTCTTCTGCCCCTGAGGTGTCCTGGCCTGCAGGAACAGCTCTGCCCAGCATTTATCCTTGTGTGAGGCTGCAGAATCCACTGCTGGCACCAAGTGGCTGCAGGTGGGAGCTGCTCCAGAGGTATTGGACTCACTCTGCATCTGTGCTGCGTGTGCAGGTTTGGGGACTGCATTTGGAAGGGGATGTGACCCCCTTGTCCCCTCTATTCCCCTCAATAGGGTGATAGGCACAGGAGCTTCTCCATCCCATTCCAGCTGGAGCACTGCAATGCCTCAGCAATTCCTTTGGCTCTGCTTTTCCTTCCTTTAAGACATCTTAAAGGAAAAAAAGCTATCAGAGGACTTGTTTGCCTGCACTAAATCCCAGTGTGCTCTGCCTGCATCACATCCTTGTAGGGTTTGGAGTTGTTCCACTCACAAATCATTTGAAGCTCAGTTTCATAGATTCATAGAATGTTAAGGGGTTGGAATGGACCTTGGAGATCATCCAATGCCAACCCCCTGCCCTGGGCAGGGACACCTCCCATCAGAACAGGTTGCTCAAGGCTTGATCCAACCTGGCTTGGAACACTGCCAGGGTTGGGGCAGCCACAGCCTCCCTGGGCAACCTGTGCCAGTGTCTCACCACCCTCACAGCAAAAACTCCTTCCTAATACCTACTCTAAATTTCCTCTCTTTCAATTTCTCCCCATTCCTCCTTGTCCTGTCCCTGCAGTTCCTAACACAGAGTCCCTCTGCAGCTTCCCTGGAGGCCCTTCAGATCCTGGCAGGTTGCTCTGAGGTCTCCACACAGCCTTCTTCTTCTCCAGGCTGAACAGCCCCAGTTCTCTCAGCCTGTCCTTGGAGGGAAGGTGCTCCAATCCTCTGATCTGCTTCGTGGCCTCCTCTGGACTTGCTCCAACAGTTCCATGTCCTTCTGCTGTTGGGGGCACCAGAACTGTGCAGGACTCCAGACAGGTCTCACCAGAGCAGAGTAGAGGGGAGAATCACATCCTTTGACTTGCTGCTGCACTCCTTTGGATGTCTGGAGCTCTGCCTAGGAAGGGTGGAAAGGAAGCTGGTGGAGCTTTCACTTTGATCTCCCCACCTTGATCTCAGGTGGGAGCTGTCCTGCCTTTGTGCAGTTGTGTGTGAGCACAGAGCAGCAGTTGGGACAGGAGTGGTTATCTCCCCAGGCACTGCAGTGTCAGCTTTCTGGTACTGAGTTGTTCCCTGTGAGTTTACTATTTCATTTTGTTGTTAAATGTCATTTTCTGCCTTGTGATCAGCTCCAGTGTTGGCTGTGTGTTTTCTGGTGAAGCCAAAGAGAATCAGGAAAGGGATCTTGAGTGGAACAGGCTCTGGCACAGGTTGCCCAGGGAGGCTGTGACTGCCCCAACCGTGGCAATGTTCAAAGCCAGGTTGGATCAAGCCTTGAGCAACTTGTTCTGTAGGCAGGTGTCCCTGCCCAGGGCGGGGGTTGGCACTGAATGATCTCCAAGGTCCATTCCAGCCCCTTAACATACTCTAATTCTCTGATGCTGAGATCTGTGAGAGTGGGTGAAGTCGAGCATTGATGTTTGCAGAGCTACAAAGAGGTGTGGGCAAAAGGAGAAGATGCAATCTGCATTATGCAGTGATCACAGACCCAAGGCTCCAACCCAGCTCCTTCCCAGGTCAGGGAATGGCTTGTCCTTCCTCCCCTGCAGTGAAAGCCAAGAGTCAAACTAATGCTGGAGACATGGATTCATGGAGGAAACCTTGCTCTCCCAAAGGGCTTGTGGGAAGGCCTGTAGGGACCTCACAGCAGCTTTGTATGGGTCAGGGACTGGAGAGGGCTGAGCATGAGAGGAACTTCCATGACTGGGGCAAGTGGAGTCTGGAGACATCCATGGGATGGATGGGACATTGGTACAGAGCTCAGAGCAGACAAGAGCTAAAATGACACTCAGTTTCCACAAAGACTTTGGTTTATTCACCACCTTCCCCTTGTGCAGCACTCATGGAACCACTCCTGCACCTGCTGCTTTTGAAGCAGTCACTGGTGTATTAGCCCAGCCCTGAGATAAACCTGGGAGGGTGAGATACAAGTTCCAGAAGGTGTCCAAGGGATAGGGAGAATAGGAGGAGGGAGAGAGCAAAGGAGAGAGAACATTGACTTATCTGTGTTGGAGCACATCAAGATTTCTCCTTCACAAGTGCTTCCTGCAGTGCCAGTGTATTTATTGCTGTGTCTTTTGATGCTCTTAGCCTGGGTGGAGCTTTGTGTTGCATGACCTTGTCTCCATGTCCCTGTTTTCCCTGGCAGTTCGAGCGGCACGAGCCGGTGGAGGGGCGGATCACGGAGCGGCAGTTCGGCAGCATGCTGCTGGCCTACAGTGGGGTGCAGTCCAAGAAGCTCACTGTCATGCTCAAACAGCTCAAGAAGCACTTCCAGGACGGCGAGGTCAGTGGCATTCAGGGCTAATTTGGGAGGCTGAGGTAGGGACAACTGTGCCATGTTGGGAAATGAGACAGGAGTCACCATCGTCTTTGGAAGAACTTCCACATGCTGTTAAGGACTGTGAGGAGACCTGAGGGGGAGGTGGAAGAGGTGGGAGTGAAGTGGTCAATGTCCACATCAGACTGTAGAATCATAGAATCATCAGGGTTGGAAAAGACCTCTAAGATCATCAAGTCCAACCATTAACCTGTCACTGCTGGAACCCCAAATCCTAAACTATATCCTCCAGACACCTCTTAAACACCTCCAGGAATGGTGGCTCTACCACCTCCCTGGGCAATATTCCACCCTAACTAACAGTGAAAGGTTTGTTCCTATGAAAACAGATGCTGTAATGTTAAGAATTCCATTTGCTGAATGTCCCTCTGGGTCTGGAGCCAGAGCAAACACTGAAGCTTTGCTTCTAGTTACTGCCCCAACCTTGGATTAATTAGCTGCTGCACTGGGCGCTTTTATTGTTTAGTTATTAACTTCTATGAAGAATTATTGGAATTCCTCATAATTTAGAGGAGAATAAGTCTGCAGGTCCTACACTCATTAATCTAGTGAGGGACCTTGGAGTGAGACACCCAGAGCAAGAGGAGATGCTTTATCAGGTAAAGCTGAGAAATGACTTGAGCATTAGAATTTTACATCTACTCCTATAAAGCTGCAATGTCCTTTTATTAACTGGGTTATAAACAAGTGATTCATCAAAATGAGAAGGGATGGGAAGCCTTAGGCTGCCTCTTGGGTTGATGTGACTCCTTTAGAGTGAGCCTCTTCCTCCTGGCACCAGGACTGGAGTTTATTTCTTAACTGGTTTAGATGCCAAGTGTGTTATAAAACACAACTTTTGGACCCTTATTGGGGCCTTAACTGAACTCCTGTGATGTGCAGGAACCCTCAGGTCATGTTCATCCACTCCAG